CACGAAGAAAATAATCCATCTTTAAACTGAGTGGAGATATGGATAGAGGTAAAGTTCAATTTCGAAGTTCTTTCACATGATTTGATGTCATGAGAGTCATACATCCTTACTAGGTATTCAGTTAAGGGCCCGTTTAAAGGGTAGCAGGCGACCTGCCCCCAGGATGGCGACATCCTTTTCTACTGCATGTTACACAAATAATTCCTTCCATTTTTTCCCATGACGGCGGAACTCAAACTTGAATAGTTCGCCAGTGAATCCTTTTACGATAACCCTGTTAGGTAAAAAGTGCATTGCAATGTAAAACTCAATTTTGCGGAAATTTAATGAGTTAGTGGAGGCATTTACTCCTAAATCTGAGTGTTTAGAAGATTAGAAATTAGCAAGGATTTAAAGATGCTTCATTCATTATAAATTCATCCTGTAAGATCACCGATCATAGGACCACAAATACCTAGTGTAGCAAAATGCTCTGCTTCACTGATTCAATGAGAGCTTTTTTACATAAGCTATGACAACATGGAACCCACAGCAGACTAGATCGGAAAGTACGTCGGTTTCCAAAACGAACAACATTTAGTTTTTGAAAAATCAGCAAAGTGGATTTTCCATAGGTTATTGCTCGGACAATGGAGGTTTTCGCACTTGCAAGGCCTTAATAGCACCAAACTTCACAATCGTTGTTTTGGTCCCCTAGATTCTCGCATAACCTACCACTACTGTGCTCGTAGTTGTGTGTGCACCATGTCGGTATGTTGGCATCTTTTTGCCATGCAATATGCAAAATATAATCAGGACTGACTTCGGTCCCACAGGTCGTGATTGTTCTCTCAGTCACGTTTTTTATCAGCTAAGCAGCAAGACCAAATGGCTTATCGGAGTTGGCTAAGCGAACTCGTGTTCATCGCTCACTGCGGTAAAAGTTGCTACCACATTGACAATCTAATCCAACGTGTTTATCGAAGTGTTATCAGACATGCCTGACTAAGAAAAGGTTATACGTGATTTTGCGCCAGATTTTGACTGCAATATCAACAGGATTAAGAGGGCTTACACACCTACGTTTAGTTCATGTTGCCGAACTTAAAGCAACCGGTTCATGAATCGCACACACCGGGAATGACTGTCAGACCCTTTGAATGGAAATTTTTTCCTATAATCCCCCTGGAAGCATATTATTTTGATTTAGTTGAATAGTAGGCACTCTAAAATTTTGTCATTGAGCCTTCGATTATAACATGTTCTACCCAAAACTCCAGTTATTTCCTTTTCGGTGCACAACTCAGCAATGTCATAACCCACATGTGGCTGCCACCATGGGACACACGCGACCACCACACGAGAACGAAACACAGGCAGCGTCTACTGTGACAGACGGAAGTTTCTGTCCACTCATATTACTTATCAGCGCCTTCGTTCGCTACCTTCGAGCTAGTCGGAACGATGGCCTTTTGCATTGCATTACAGCATTTGCCATGAGAAGAGGAGTGTGCAATGCTTCTTCAAGAGGCGGTTAGGCGTACTTCTCATCTGTCTTATGACGCATTGTCTTAAAGACACCGATGCACTCGACAACGGGTGCAAAGGGTTGCAACGATGAGGTTCTTTACTTTAATCAAATATTAATAATTAATGAGCCCATTGGCTCATGAATGCATGCAAGTTTTCTAGTCTGGCGCAATGCACAAGCATGTTGGAAACGTTTAGAATTCACTCTAAGCCATTTAGTACACAGAAGACGGGAGTAAAGTACCGCCTTATCTTCGTTACCTATTTTGAGGGGCGTCGCCTTAGAAACTTGCAAGCCTAATGCAGGAGAGAGTGAACACAGTAGCCAGTCCTAACGACAACCTTTTTAATAAAAATCGCAGAGTCCTTGTTTTTAAAAAAGATATTTGTGCTTTTCAATCGGGTGAATATGTAAGCACTTAGTTAAAATCCAACATAAATTAAACAGTCAAGAACAAAATTGCGTCACTGAAAAAAATGCTAGACGTGTCTGTATATGTGTGCTTAGTTCGGTGGAGCAAGGGGTGCTCCTAGTCTTAAATATTTTATTGAATTCAGCAATTTCTCTCGTGAAATTGTAGCCTTGAATGATAAACCACAAAAGATTTTAACACGTCAGATAGACCAAATAGTTTAAATAAAGTCGATTCAAAACGCCGCATCGCTCTAGAGCATCCATTGAACATGTTGCATTTTGTCAGAAGTAAAGTCTTTTACTGCGAACCCACCGAACTTCACAGCTGCCTGCCAAGGATTGAGTCCTTGACCACGTGCCAGGCAACCATCACCAAGTTTATTGATCCATTGGGCTTTATTGAACTCCCGGTAAAGTCACACGCTTCAATTTTTAACCCTTCAGACCCTGAACTCATTCCTGGACGACTGTTTTGACACATTTTTGGGTCGCTTAAAGCAACACAATGATCTACTTCGCTATTCCACTTCGAAGCATTTCAACTAGTCTGTGTATCGGTGATGCGTCTCCCTGATTAGTCTCGTGACTTTGCTATTAAATTCAAGCAAGAAATAACCCCGTCCACAGGGGTACACAACACTAGAAGCACTTAAGTCTGAAAAACAAAGGGTAAGTAATTTGTATCGATATTACCACTATAATATGCCATGATAACGATACGCGGCGCCCTCAAACATCAAAGGGATAACAAACACCAAAATAGGGAGCCTGGAGTGCACTCAAGTGGTATCGGCGTTAGTCAGATTAGATTTTGCAGCTCGTATGACCTCAGGCCATGCTAGCCAACACACGCGAACGCAAAAGCAGTGTACTTAATGCCTGCGGGTGGCGGAGAGCAGCCTCGAGGCAAAGGCGCATGGAAACGCCCCCTCCCCTTCCCCCCACGATCAGACCAAATTTCACCGGGCAATTCAAACGTGTTGCGCAGCATTGATGCCCCTTGACGTGACTGTAAAACAAATGCTCGGGTTACCCGTCCCGGAGTGTAAAGCATCGACAACCTCCCCCTTAATTCTTCTCAAAAACAAAAACCGAGTAAACTTTTGCAACCAATGCCCCGTTCCTTCCCGTTCGCCTCCCACCGCCTACCCACGACACCCGAAACGGCTCAAGTTCGATAAACCGATTTGAGGGCAGCACCATTTAGCACCGAAAACTTGAACAGAAGCTAATTAGACCCAGAATGACAATAAAAACAGAGGCATTTGTATAAGAGTATTTCTATATAGCCTACTAGAAACCGAGCAGATTGGGTCGCATCATAAAGAACTGTTAAAAAGATTCCAATGTGGCGTCAGAAAGGTGTTCAGAGCGGCTTGGTGATCGAAAAACTTGACTCCACCAACTTCCAGGTGTTGGGTTTATGAGTGTGCGAATGAGAACGAGGAAGTCGGGCGATCACCGCGAGTGTTGTTGCAGAGGTTGGATCACCAGCGAGGGATTGAGAGCGGTTGATGAGCGATTCCGCGCGCGTTTGTTAAAAAATATCCCAATGTGCGCACGAAAATTACGTTACATGCTGTTGCCTTTCGTGTAGATAAACGTAAACAAAATTTGTTGGAATGCATTTCAAGAGTAGCGATTAAAAAATATGGGAAAGCGTTGTGTTGGGGCAGGGGAATAGGCTGTTCTAAGTGCGGGGGTTGGGTGGATATTGCATCGTCTAAAACGTTGCGTGTTGTGTTCTATGATTACATTCGGTTAAGGGGTTAGCAGGGGGTGAGGAGTGAAGATTGGAAATGCAGTTGATAAAAATTGTTCGTCATGCCTCAAACCCCTGATTTTCTTTTCACGCTTCTAATACGGTCGACTCTGGGCTAAAAAAAAGTAACAGAAAAAATCCATTAAGGAAAGAATACATTAAACAATCAGGGAGGTAACTAGGTAAACCAATAGAGCGGGACACCGATTAATCTGCGAACACAATCTGCGAAACCGACAATCATGCGGGATAGTATTGACGCGGGAAGTAAGACAGATGAAATCAAATGGCGTTAAGTATATGTGTAGGCGAGACAATCAGCATAGAAGACAAACGACCGGTTCTCAGAAGATAACCAAGAGTACATGCTCCCAATGGCAAACTATACAGAGCGAGCTGGGGGAATAAATAGTTTACATGGCGGAATGATGGACAGGGGAACTAAACACGGTGGAACACATGAAGCTCTTTGGTTTGCTTTTGCTTTCGTGAGTTTTGGGATAACTGCATGACAGTGCAACCGCAGCGGAATACACATAGAGACGAACGCATAAATAGAAATTAAGGGACCGTCACCCAACGGACGCAGTTCGAAAGTGTGATAGCTGCGCACACGGACACAGAGCGAGCGGAAAGCAAGGTACTACTGAAATCACGAAGAACAGAGGGAGAACGTAGACAAAACAAGGGAAGCCGTGCAACAATGATCGAGTTGTTGTGGGTTATACTACACAAAGGCACGCAAACACAGAAGCCCCGCGCACACAGAGACACACAACACAAACGAAGTGAGTGTTGTCCAACAATCTGCTTACTCACATGCCATGGAAAATAGGTGGCTCGGCTTCGGAGGGGTCAGGAGGTAGTTATGAGCACTCGGGTTTGTGGGTGTAGGCGAAAATAAGTATTGGTCTGTTCTCCTCTGGGCATGTTATGCCTTGTGGTGTGAATTATGTTTGATGGTGGGTGGATGGGTGGGCGTGTTGGGGGGAGGGGGGGAGGGAAGGAATCCAGGCAGGGAAGCACTGAGTTGTTGGAAATAGAAAATAAAATAAAAGAGGAAAGCCCTCGATATAACTGTGGTTATGCTTGTGCTGAGAGGAATAAAGAGGCTGTTTGAGTGAGTAAAATCAGTCGATGAATGATTCGAAGATCAGGACTGAGAAGTCGCAGCTAAACGAGATGAAAAAACGGGAACATGTTGATAATCTAAGAATTACTTGTCCAAGGGTTAGTTATGTCCTCAAACTGACCCAATTACACGGATACGTGAGAGCAACACAGTCGAGTGGAAAAAGTATGCGCCTAGTGGATTCACAGCATGGGCTTACTTTTTGAACGCTTCAATTGCACCTTAAGCCGCTTCATGCCTATTTGGAAGCCGTTCATTGCTTGGATTGCTGTCTGAGCGCTCGCCTGGTTGTCGTAGCTAACGAAACCTGAACGGAAATGACCAGTTTACTATGATGCTGATGAGCAAATGCGCGAAACGTTTCAAAAGAAATAACCCACCAAAGCACTTGCTCTGGTTTGTAGCTCGATCAACGTAGACTTTGGCACTGATAACAGTTCCAAATGGCATAAACATTTGAGCAAGGTCCTGATCCCCGAATTCTTGCGGGAGGTGGTATATAAAAAGATTACAGCCCTCTGGACCGGTAAGGATGAACTCTCGCGTCCCCTCTTTCTGCTGAACGGGCATTGACATTGCCTGTGTGAGACTCTGCAAGTGGCCAAATGCCGCCGGGTTTGCCATAGCTGCAACAAGAAAGCAGTCAGTGATATTTAAAAAAGACGGGAATTTATGGCATTGCGGTGCTAACAAGTAACACGTACCAAGTCCGTAAGGAGAAAGGGGAAATAGATGAGGGAATGCTTCGCCAGGCAATTGCTGCTGAGAAACTAAGAGAAACATCCAGAGATTAGCAAAGTGATGAATGCAAGTAACGGTGAAAACTACTGGCTTAGAGGAAAACGCAAGCACATCGATGTCTATCTGGATACGAAGTGAAAAATAATTAGTTTAAAATGAACTAAGTAATCAGCGGACTAGGGGTCCGGTTTAATCAAATAACGAATTTAATTACCAGCTCCATTGGCGGCGGTGTTGGCTGCTGCGGCCAAGAGGACGGCGGCTCCGGGGTTCTGACCAGCTGCTGCTGCTGCTACTGCAATCTGGGAATGATGCGGATGCTGATGATACTGCTGGTTAGCTTGGAGAGCGACATGCATGGCCATGGCCTGCTGATATGCCGCCATGGCATGAAGCGTGGCAGCGGAATGCTGAGGCTGTGCCATGGCAGCAGCAGGACGCATCATCATCGGAGTTCCACCGGCAACCAGTGCTGCGCTCATCATATCCTGTTGCTGCTTCACCGCGGCCATGGCTGCTGCCGCCGCAGCTGCCTGTTGCTGTAGCGCCGTCGTAACTGCAGGAGGGGAATTAGATGCGGCAGCGACAGCGGCGTTAGAGTCAATAATTCCGGCGGGGTCCGGGGGAGAAAATGGGGTCCAGGAGGGCGGAAGCAGGCCACTGGCAGCCGTGGTCGATAGAAAACCGTTTGGCATCGTACCATTTGGGGAGGGAGTCGCTACGGCTGAGCTTTCAGATGGGTTGGATCCATTAGGAAGAGATCTTTGCTGCAACGGGAACATCTGCTGCTGAGTAGCTGCTAAATGCTGCTGAATTTCGTCTGAAAGCTGTGGCTGCTGTTGCAGGTGATGTTGGAGGGCTGCCATCGCAGTGTGAGTCAAATGGGGTTGTTGTGGCGCCTCAGAGACTGCTGAGATCACGCCTTGCGGGTGCTAGAACGAAGCAGAATAATCTGATCGATTATCACGTCACTGTAACAGTTTCGTGAACTGTCATTATAATCGGATTAATTACGTGTGTGATTCGATATCCGATTTGTTAAATTTAGGCGTTAAAAACGGAATACTAACAGGCAAACCTAAAAAGAACATCGTTCACAAAAGGTTACCGTGATGATCAACACAGGCACGACGGACTGTGAATTCAATCGCTTATCCTCAATTCACACAACGCAGTGACGATCACTCAGACATCGACTGTCAAGCGTTACGGTAAAAAATGACGTCAAGCTAAAGGACCACGCTCTAGCCGCACCAATAAGACTTTTGTGTCCTACATTGTCCATTTTCCAGGTTGGATCGTGTAAATGTAGGTCGTCGACCCCAGTAAGGTGTGAGAACTAATTGCAGATCGCTTGACCGAACATGACCGCCAAATGTCGGTGTCGCCATAGAAAACGGGTCGGACGGGCTAACCCCAGATGCTGCGTACTACTCGGTTGATTTTTCACTCAATCTGCTACATGACAAAATAACGAAAACGGCAGGGTCACTTAATAGGCAATATAATCCATGTGGCTTGTAAATTTGTACGAATGCCTAGCATCCTGACAGCAAGACCAACAACAAAGCACGCAAAGGCGTGTCCTATTTCTTGTCCATGCACGCGAACCGTAGAAGCACAAGTGTGCGCAACACACACACACACACGAGTGAATCCTTAGACCCAGAAAATGGCACATAGCGTCTCGTGCTTGCTAGCACGGGATGTCCCCCACGCGTTGGCTGGAGCACGACATCGGACGCAAGCCTCCCACATCTGCCGACCCGTGAGATGACTGTCGTGATGAGAAGCATATTTTGGCTTGAGGTGAACCAACACCACTACGCAACGTGGTATGGAGTTTTATAAAACATCTACGTGCAGTTGCCCTGGTATTCAACAAGTAACCCGTTATTCTAAGATCGCATAGCGTGATTAGCTGTGGGAAAAGGTGTCTACAGAGACAATTTGATGTCGGAATGAGTGAGGCAAAATTTGACGAGGCCGTTCAACTAAGAGAGTGGCTTAAAAGCCGGACAACTCACCTGGAGATATGGTTGGTGCAGGAAATTATGGGGGCTGGGGTTGGGATTTGTGGGAGCAGGCATAGACGCCGCACCAGCCATTGCGATCAGTTGTTGGTAGGACGCCATGGCTTGAGGTGCGCCTAAGGTGAGGGGCACCGTGGGAGGGATGACGGCAGGCATGACCTGCGGGACCATGGAGGGGACGCCGGGCCTCAGGTTGGGGGAAACAGAGGGTGAAGTGAGGCAGTTTAAATACTGGCAGCCGTCCACCGCATTACCGCATTGGCCAATCATTTGCTTTTGAGTGGACGCTTGATTGTGTGACGATTGCTTCTGGTCCTCGCTCGAGTCGACAATCCTAACCACCAGCGGCGCAGAAGCTCCCTAAAACCGGTTATTACTATTACTGGATGCAAATCCAAGATTGCCAATGTCACGCCTGGGGAAAACTCGACGAATGGCCAGACATTTTAGGTCTTACGAAGGTAGATCTATTTCGCACTTCAAGTCCCAGTCATAGCACCAAGATTAAAACCATAAAGCGACAACTACGCTTATCACCGGGATTTTTAGGTGTAAGTCGAAGCCGAAGGTGTGAGCGCGATGTTATGAAATCTAATCGTGTGAACAGATCACAGTAGATACCTCCGAGACGCAAAATAAGAAAAGTATATTGGTTAACAGACCATTAGTACGATGGTTTGGAGTCCAACATCTAACAATGATTAAGAGTTCAATTGATAGACCAGTAATATCAACGCATTCGAAAACAAAGGCATCTTAAGGCTTCAAACAAGGAACTCACAGGCATAGTTTTCTTCCCGTTCAGACCCTCAACAGCTGCGCTCGCTTCGGAGGACATCGAGAATGTAACCAGAGTACAACCTACAAGAAGAGGAAACAAGGTAAGCAGTTACGTCTGCAGTGGTCTTCGCGAATCGCAATGTGCAGAACATACCTTGTTCTCCTAGCATGGTACATTCTTCGATGCGACCGAATTGAGACAATAACGGTCGTGCATCGGTCTCATTGCCGAGGTTTGAGATGAATACGGTGCGATCTACGCGGACAGAGATAAGCGTGACATTCTAACGCAGACACACGATAGCGAGTGGTGTGAAATTTGAACAATTATCAGACAAAACCATTTACTAAAATGCGCGAAATAATTATCACAAACTGACACAGGGAGACGGATTTCAGTCAAACGGGGATCATACGATATAAAGATCTTTTTTTGCCAGCAAGTAGATCATGAAGTTAAATAGAGGATATTAGCTGAAGATCATGTCCACGAAAACCGCCGCATTACATACTTGACGCATTGTAAGCAAGAAAATGATCCTGTCTACAAAAACGTGGTCACCTAGCCTATAGTCCATCGACAACCACAGAAACAAGGCCTACTTAAAAAATGGGACACTAGCTGATTAAATTCTCAATACTACATCTACTACTTGACATGTGACTTCTCAACAACGATTTCAGTGTAGCAAATCAACAGCAAGAAACATTTAATTATCAATGATGCAAAAGAGAACTTGGCAAATCCAGATCAAATAATGGTTACTCACCAGCATTCCCAGTTCGGACGAAATCCGCCACGTTTGGAATGGATGCGGCACTTGATGTCGACCGGCTACCCGACATCCCTTCTTTATCGCTGGAGTTGGATACGGGAGATTCTGGTTCAGGTGGCATCAGATCCACACCAGAAATTAGATCGCAGGACTGTCTGGATAGTTTGGAAGGCGTAAGAGTCAGCGTCTCGTGCACGTTCCTGGGGCTTTCTATCATCATTATTCCAGCGTTTTCTATCTTATGGACGAGAAATTCTAAGTTGGACTGGGGGATCGATAATCACAGCGAAAGCTTGCGCGACGGGAAGGGAAAGCTCCTGGTATTCCTCTAGCTTGCGCAGAACGGAGTCAACCTACAGAGAGCGTTCGTTGCAATGATTTGCGTGGGACGAACACGCAGCGATGCCTGCACGCATGTGTTTGTCTCACGCATATGGCCGCACCATCGCCTGTCCGTCTATCGCTAACTCTTGATGTGAGGCTAATGTATGATTGGCTAATGTATGAGAGACCATCTCCCGACCATGTGATTTGCTGAATTTACAATTGGTTACGATTGGTTACTGAGCTGATTTTGGGAAAATTGATTGGGCATTAAATTTGTATTTGTTATGCAACTTGATGGACGACTCCCAGCTTGGCTTGTACGATGTGGCGTGGATTTAGATGTCGGGTTTCATTATGGTTGTGCTGTTTATTAGAAAGTGTAATTGGTAGAACTGTTCTACTGTCCCTGAGCTCTGTAGTCAAGTTGCAAAATTCAGGTCAAAGATGTGTAGGTGATCTTTGGTTTGACTTCCACTTCTTGTTTCAAAATGCCTCATGCGGTCATTAAGGGTCTAACTAAAGAGTTGTTTAGGACCGAGCGTGAGAATGCTGCATGTTTTTCAAATTCTCATACTCCAAGTAGTCGTGATAGGTAACGTGTTCCATGGATCCGCTTAACCACTACATTCTCAACACGGTAACGTAACCACCCAAGTTATAAGGCTGAAATTACCATAGGTTGGGTCTATAAAGAAACCTGCGTTGGTCAACCCCCTTCGGATTGGCTGATATTTTGCTTGCTAAACTTGCAAACTTACATCGCGAAAGCGTACAAGTATGTGCACCTTGGAGATATCACAATTCCTGAATGCGGTTGCCAGGGGGACTGCTAGACCCTCGAAAGATATTTACCATCAAGCAACGTAGAACTTTTTGGTTAAAATGATTCGGCAAGGTTGTGTGTGTCGTCTTAATGGCAGTAGAATTTACCAGTATTATTTGAGATGCATTCTGCGTTCAGGATGGTCAATGTAACGCGAGAGGGATGTAATAAATTCGAGTTCATCCCATGTCTGAACTACAATTTTCAAACATTACGAACTAAACAAATTCTGTTTGTCTCTAATATGAAGTAAAAGTCGGCTTTGCAAATGAAAAACCCATTGAGCGCTTGGGAGTAACTCGTTGCTTTGGTTGGGACATTTTGCCGTTCAGGTGCATTTGAAAGCGCAAAGGTTTCCGCATTTTAGGAAATATGTATTTCCGATCAACCAAACGTTTCACAACAAGGTAAAGTAGTTGTTGGTAAATCACTAACGAAACATGAGTTGTGAGATGATTGTCACGGCTTATAAAAAATGCTGGTCAAAGTCCGAGTCAGCCATGTGTAATACTTGAGTCGAGTCAACTTATTAAAGCACGGTAAGAGCTTTGCCAGTAAGCTAAGAAAGAGATTTATTTCTCTAATTTCTCACAGATTTGCTTAATTAGTTTAAATGTGGTGTTCATTTGCACACTCCATCATTCTTACTTGCTTTATCGCTGAGTATAAAGACCAAACGAAAACTGGAACACACCTTCGAAAGTGGATCATTTCTGGCTGTTGCTATGCCAACCGAAAACGGACTTTTGTGCATGCGAATCCAAGCAGGACTGAGACACATTACACCTTGTTGGACGCTCATCGTGCTACCTTTCTGGTCAACAAAGTGGCGTGGCTGGTGAAATGAGATATGGAATTACAAAATTACAATGCTTTCCCTAATTTGGATTGATATAAACTTAAATATACTTGCTGCACTTGCATGCCATTTTCATTTATTTCTCTATGTCACTGCGTCGTAATTTCTAGATTTCTAATCTGACCTGGGCATCTTTGATTAGAGGGGTCTCAGATTTGCAGGCTTTTCATTTCCTAGCAAATCACCATTTATTGGGTTTCGGGTAGTTCAAACTAAAGTAAGTGTTCACGCAGTTTTGTGTATTCCATGCAACTTCAAACACCTCTCGTCTCCTTTCTCTCTGTCCTGTGGTTTTTTTGGAAAATATGGATGTAAAACAGTAGGTAGAATCGGGTCGGAAGAGAGTAGCGAATATTTTTATTGATCAAACCTATTCTCATAAGTGTTTTTA